ATCTAAGGATCCAGTTTGGAGAGCAAGGGTGAAGAAGCTCGATGATATGAGTGGGGGTCTCTCCTCGTAAAGACATAAAAGTATGAGTGAGTGATTTTAAACTGATATCTGAAAAAACATTGTTTTAAATAGCTCTATATACCATTATTATCACTTTGACCTTCAGTCTACTGACTTGGAAGCATTCAGATCAATTCAATTTTATTTATACAGCGCCAAATCACAACATCAGTCGACTCAAGGCGCTTTATATTATAAGGTAGACGCTACAATAATACATACAGAGAAAAACCCAAGAATCACATGACCCCCTATGAGCAAGCACTTTGGCGACAGTGGGAAGGAAAAACTTCCTTTTAACAGGAAGAAACCTCCAGCAGAACCAGGCTCAGGGAGGGGCGGGGGCCATCTGCTGAGACCAGTTGGGGTGAGGTCAGAGGTCAATTTTGACATCATGTAAATCTTCATACGTCACTTTATATGTGTTGATAAGAAACACCACACTTGTAAAAGTCATAGTTTCTAAGTACGCTGACCTTGGTGGACGTAAGTAAATTTTTATGGTTTGTTAATCTACAGCCCTACAAAGTTTTATCAGAATTCATTCAAAACTTTTTGAGCTGTCACGTATGCAGATATCATGACACACATAACCTCCTTGCCAGAGGTGATAAAGTTAACTAGACTGGATGTTTGAGCAGTAAGTAAGTAATCTAAAGATGTTTGGTTTGTCCTGCTGCAGATGCTAATCTGATCCGTTTTGCAGTATTTTGGCTGAATCTGGGCAGAGAGTAGTCCTGCACACGTCAGAATTCATCCATCATTCTCATTCAAATGAACCATGGTTTCATCTGTCCAAAAACATTGTGTTTTTCAGAACACTTGAATCTTATCAGGCTCTTTTAGATGTTTCTGTTCTCAAGCGTAACCAGTGGTTTGTGGCTTGTTGTAATCCTTCTGTATTTACATTCATGAAGGCACATCTTGCTTGTAGACTTTGGCAACGATAAGTCTACCTCCTTGTGGCTGTTGACTTGGTTAGAGGTTGTGAATGTCCGAGACATTATTTAGGCTGGAGAGGGATAGAAAACAAAAGGTAGCAGGAAACTAGCAGGAAACTAACTGGACTACACTGGAACACATGACCCATGAAGCACAGACCACCCAAAAATAAACAAGGGGGAAACTCACACAATAAATACACAGAGGTGTGACAAGGGAAGTGGAAACACATGGGGAACACAGCAGGAACAAATTAGGTGAGACGAGACAGGAGGAAGAAAACCTGAACACGGAGACGGGACTGTCAAAGTAAAACAGGAAACACAATGACACAGATTAAGACACGCAGCTTGACACAGGAGCCAGGAGGAAGAAACGCACCTGGATACTATACGGACTGAAGAGACAAAGAAGGGAAAAGGTGGAAACGGTTAAGGGAGATGAGACGGGGAGGGAGGGGGAGAGAGTGAGGACTGAAACACAAGGAGAGGAACCTGAACAGAAAAAGGGAGACAAACACTGAGTCAAATGACCCAGAACCATGACAGTGAAAGACTTGTTCCCCCCTTAACATTGGAAATAAGTCTGTCGTTGTGGATTTTAGCTGTCATCTGTGGAATGTCAGCTGGACTCTTGGGGTTGCTGAGCTGACCAGTGCATTGAAACTTTTAAAAAAAGTACCAGATTGTTGATTGGCCACCCCGAAAGTTGTTGCTATTCTCTGTAGAGTTTCTTTTGTTTGTCTTTTTTCTTTCATTTCCTCATTTCCTACACAGTTCAAGCCAAGTTTTTCTTGAAACCGCACGAAACTATAAAAATGTGTCGTTGTCCAACAAATGATAAATCTAACTGTACAGCGTGGCTACCTCTCCAGGATGTGATAGCTGGGATTCACTCCAGTATGGATGGAAATAGATTGATGGAAATGCTGCTGAAATCAATGCAGTATTCAGACAGATGTTGTTGTTTGAACAGTGCTCAATATTTGGCAAGAAAAAAAACACCATAGGAAAAGACAATGCTTAATGTTGTCCTACATAAAACAGAAATACACATATTAAGAAAATGTCAACAAATAGTTTTTGCTTTGTTTCTAACAGCCTTCCTTACTACCACCGTCACATATAACTTCTTACCGGGGCTCACGCTGCAGACATCATGTTGTGTCAGGCTTCAGCTGTGTTATGTGAGAACTCGAGTTATTCTCTCGTGAGCAGAAGAGAATAACGGGAATCTTGGAGTAAATAGTCGTGGAGGGATTTGCCACTGCGACTCAGAAGTTGTTAGCTATTGAAGTCTTTTACTGATACAAGTATTGTCAAGTGCATTGATAAAATACTGCAATATGACAAGTATAACTACCTCCATTAAGCATATAATAAAATATGATACAGTCATACATGCTGCAGCAGAAGGATAGATGTAAATGAGAGAATCAGTGTAAATGCATCCTGGCCTATTGTTCCGCTGCCAAGCCTCGGACACTTGAAGGTGCATTAGAGTAGAGCCATCATTAACTCTGGTGTGAAAATCTGCATCATCGCCTCCTCATTAGACCGCAGAGTTAATTAAACACAAAGCTTTATGTTGTATCTTTCATTTTAACTTCTTTAGCCTGCATTCAGTCTGGTGAGATGTTCAGTGATGTGTAACACAAGGATTTTGTCTGTTCCAAAGGAATATTACAAAGTTACATTCAATACAAAAATACAGTGAAATGACAATAAATATATTTTTCTGAAGATGAACATGGTTAGTGTCTGAATTATCATATAATAAAACCTGAAGTTATCATGAAATGAGAAAAATGAAGTATATGATATTAAATACAGGAGGCTTTGACTTTCCATTTTACTAATCGTGAAACTCAAACGAAGTCATGAACATCTTCTGGCACAAGTTCATCCTTATGATGTTGAAACCAATAAAAATACTGTATTTACAAAATATTTTGGCTTTTCACTGTTTGGCTCATCTTCAAAGAGGAAACCCCTCCCTGTGGGGAGGAGTTTGGCTTTGTAATTAGCAGTTCAA